ACCCCCCAGCCATCCCACCCCCTGCCCTGAGCTCCCCCACTCCCTGCCCAGACTCCTGCATCCCCACCACTCCCTTAAGCCCCCCCCCACACACACACACACACCTTCCTATCCCCTGCCCTCACTTCTGCACCACCACCCCCTGCCCAGGCTCCTGTACCCCTCAAGCCCCCAGCCTCCTGCCTTGAAAGACCTGAACAATTCTGGATAAATCTTCTAGTCTACTGTATACTTCATGTAATTTCAATATTTATACTCCAAATGATTTATTATATCATTATATGGTAAAAATGAGAAAGGAAGCAATTTTTCAGTAATGTAGTGCAGTGACACTTGTATTTCTATGTCTAATTTTGGAAGCAAGTACTTTTAAAATGAGGTTAAATTTGGGGGTACAGTAATCTGGAAAGGTTGAAGCCACTGCCCTATAGGATCAGTCCTTAAACAATGGCACTGTATATGTAGTTTGACACAGGTTGTTACACAATATGAACTGCTCGCATGTCAAATTACTATGACTGGTGCCATACCAGTCATCTGTTTGGAAGATACAAAAATATGTTGTATATATAAATTGAGTCATTAAAAATTGCACCCTTGAATTCCTTTTTCAGATAAAAAGTGTGAGGACACTGATTTATCACTTTTACTACGTGTTTCTTTGAACATACCAGTGCTTTAAAGTAAACACCAATGCCAGTTTGTTATGACTACCAGCAGCAAAACATCTCTCCAAACTAATCTGTACAATGGTGGGAACAGCCTTTGAGTCAGTATAGTAATTAGTAATAGACTGAAGAAAAAAATACTAGAAGAACATGGGCCATTTCAAACGGACTTAACTGTTTGATTAACCAAACAGTAAGATGGTCAGTCACAAAAGTGTCACTGCACAATGTTGAATGGCTTTGTTCAGTTTGCTCAAAAACTAAGGGCATTTTTCTTCTGAAGTTTTTGATGGCTGATGTGGAAAGAGAGGTGCAGTTTTACTAACAATGGAAGAACTTTGCTTTCTTGTAGCCAAATTCTTTAGTACTAGAAGGGAAGGTTCTTAATAAGGGACAGATTCTGATTGGCTTTTATGTAGGCTGACAGTAGAAGTGGCATGGGTGCAAGGACATTTCTTGCTCATGTGAGGCCCACAGGCAGGGCATATAGGGACCACCTTGTAACTACTGACCTTGATGCAAAGGGGAGGTTGGCCAAAGTTCAGAATGACTTAAGTGGTAGCAAAAAAAAAAATCTATGTATCTGCTTGTCTTGCAAAGAGGCTTAGCCCCACAATTGCTCCCACTAAAATTAATGGGGGATGCACATGCTGAGACCAAAAGTGTCTATATTTGAATCACTCCCTCAAAAGTGCCTTCAGATCAGCATTTTATTTTTCCAGTATGTAACAGGGAGTTTGGAGATATCCCTGCTGTTCTGTAATTTGTGTCATGGGAGGCCTGATACTTTACTGTGAGATTTTTGGATTAGAAGCAGTGTGTAATGTGCTTTGTATACAATTAATTAAGCCTCATCATATCCCTATGAGATAAGTAAGTGTAGCTGAATCCCATTCACCCTTTGATAAACCGAGGGATGTAAAAACTAAATGATTTGCTCAAGTTCATCTGGAAAGTCTGTGGAAGAGGAAAAAACAGACTTGGAATAACCTGTTGTAAACACGAGCCCACACTACAGACAATGCAGCCAGCTTAACTCTCAGGAGGTTAAAAAAGCAAGCTTCATAAAAGGTCACATGAGTGCTTTAATATTATACCACAGAAACAAAATATATGAATGAACTGTGATATTATCATGCTATAAAAGTCCTTCATCTCTAGATTCACTGTAGAGTGTATCGGTGTCATGCCACAACACACAGCATTCTTTGGTGCTGGTGGGCGCAACGAAAATGAAGAAACTGAACTAAGGATTGTCTTTTAAAATAAAGAGCTTCTGCATGGATCCAGCACACAACATGCATTTAACAAAAGAGATCACGTGACATCACTAGACTGCAGAATGTTCTTCCGATAAGTGGTTCTCAGAATGTGGGTTGGGACCCCAAAGTGGGTCATGTCCCCATTTTAAGGGAGTCCCCAATGCTAATATATGATTTGCTAAGACCCAGGACTGAAGACTGAGCTCCATCCCCACCAGAAGCAATAGGCTGAGGCGGTAGCCCCCTCTCCTCCCACCAGGGGTGGCAGGGTTTAGCATGTGGCCCCCATTTTCCCCACCTAGAGTGGCAGCGATCAGGCTCCTGTCCCCATCCCCCTGTCATATAGTGACATTATTGTCAAAAGTGGGGTCTCAGTGCAATGATATTTGAGAACCCTTGCTTAGGTCATTTGCGAAGAGAAGCAACGTGTCTTACTGGTTAGTAGCAGACGACTCTGCCAGGCTCCTCAAATGAGTGTAGAGATCTCAGATGGAAGCTCAAAGAGACAGAAAGATTGCCTTCTTCTACAATGCTAACTGCTCCTGATGAGGATTAGAAGCAATTAGGCAAAGTTGTGCATGCTTCAAAATCAAAATTTTCATCCTTTGGACTTCACAGCTGTTATGCTCCCTGATGTCTGTAAAACATGAAAGTAAAACTACAGAGATTTTTTTTCTCACCCATTATTATTAGGGACAGAAAGATTGTACCTATGACAAATTCAGCTATTTTGAGTTTGTGAAATATCAAGAAGCAGATGTGTGCTTCTGGGGATATGCCCATTTTCAAAAGACTGATACTAAATGCAATGTCTGATCTGGAGCCCACTTCCAGCATGGTAAGGAAGGATAAAATGGAATTATGCCAAATGTACCAACAGAAAACCTCTGAATACACAGCAGACAATTAAAATCAGTGGGGAAAGGGACCATTTGCATCTTAAATGGCAGCAAAGGAAAAGCTTGAAGAAACAAAACCCACTACCTCGTACGCCAAAGATCCTTCAATCGTGAGCCAGTGCACAGCATGCATAATATCTAGGGATGTGAAACCAAACAAAAATAAAAAATATGCCTTGTAAATGGTGTTTTGAAAAACTGATAAGTTCTTGGACTCATTCCAACTCTGTTTTTGATAGTCATTTGCTTAGGATAAAAATGAAAGTTGTAACGCCTTCATTCATATGACACTTTCAACCTAAACTACACATTATTCAATACCAACATTCTAAATTACATTACTTACTGGGGATGATTTAATTTATGAGACCCATTACAGGTCTGAAGATTCTGCAGGAGGTTTTGATTCAATTTTCATGTATTTTAATCTTAAACACTGACACATGAAGAGGGTGAGATTGAGGGGGCCTGAGGATATGCAGCCAATTTGGCCCTTACTGCTTTCAAAATGGATAAAAGCATGGAAAGTAAGTCAATGTAAAAACAACCACAAATATCATTATCTGTGTACATGTTAAAGAGTTAAGCAAAGAGTATGGTTTTTGGGTAGCTCCAGGTGTGTGGTAAATTATAAATATAATAATTATACTGGCATTTAGGCATAAGGCATTTATCCGGGAGAGACAAAGATCTTGCGCAAGAGGAGGTTTTTGCACAAAACGGAAGCAGCCACACTGCTTCTTTTTGCACCAAAACCCCTTGCGCAAAAAGAATTGGCAGAAAATATGCTAATGACATCACAACTCACGCTAATGAGTCCCTCATTAGCAGGGCTCGACAAATAGTGTAATCTATTCGCCCGTGGTGAGTAGATTACACCCCGGAAGAGCCAGTGCGGAGCAATCTGCGCATGCGCAGGACCGCACAGCTGGCGAGTGGGGCTCACCACCACTCGGCAAGCCATGCTCATTAGCATATCTTCTGCTGCAAAAACTTGCAATGTAGACGAATCCTGAGAAGCAGGAGCCGTGAGGAAGCTGTGCAAGTTTGCCCAGAATGCGCTCCATTTCCCTGCAGCTCCCACTATAGGGAAGAGTGCAGGGGAGCCAGACTGCTGCTGCTGTTCAATGCCAGGCCTGGATGATCCCCAAAGCAGGAAAGGACGGGGTTGAGGAATGATAATGGCCCGCTGTGATTCCCGGGCTGGATTGCACAATTGCTCCCATGGGGGATGGCCTGTAGGCTGAGAATTTGAGACCCATGCTCTAGAATTAATCCAGAGCCAGCCTTTAGGAATGTTCTAGAGCAGGGATGGCCAACCAGTGGCTTGTAAGCCGCATACGGCTCTAAAAAAACGTGTGGCTCCTGCACCGGCACCTGCAGCTCGTGGCTCAGAAAGGGACAGCGTGTTTCTGTCTGCATGGGATGCCGGTGCAGACTTCAAAGGGTAATGCCTGCTCTCCTCTTAATAGGGCAGCGTCCAGGGCATTTTTTTTTTTTTTGCTCAACAACTTTTTTCCCCTCGGTCCTTTGCACTGTATCCACCACTATTTTGGCTCTTCGTCTGTAACAGGTTGGCCACCCCTGCTCTAGAGTCAAAGAAGGATCCACAAATATTCAGATCCACATTAAATCTGAACTTTCTCATATGTCTGAAGTTGTTTCAGGCTGGAATTCACATGATTTGAGCAGACAACATATACTTATCTTAATGATTCATTTGAAGCTGGTATGTCTTAATGTGGAAGAGTAGTGACTTCCTCCTACCAAAGCAATTATCTGATTTATCAGAAAGATGGTTCAGCAAATAACAACAAGCTGTTATGGGACTCTTATCACTTCATATTTAGTCCATGTTGGTTATAACTGAGGTCCTATTTTTAAAATTGGACACCATAAAATAGACACCATAAAATAGACACTTCCAATGTTTGAGATACTTAGTATGCAGATTTAAGAATCTGGATATTGGAGTTGGTCAAAAAGTTTTCATTAGAACAGTTTTCTGTCCAAAAATGCAGATTCATCCAAATTTAAATATTTTGTGGGAAGACTTCAACTTAAACAAAATTTTAGACAAGTGAGTGTCAAAGTAAATCCTTTCACCTTTCTCATTTTGTTTTAATCAGGTGATGTTTCATTTCTACATTTTGTCAAATTATATTAAATATAATATTAGATTACATTTAAATTCTTTTGTGGATCTGGTGCAGCTGTCTGTAACAAGGACAGGAGTGGGGTCCTGCCCCAGGGCGAGAGCTGTGCTCCCTGGCCCAGGTGTACCCTTGCCAGAGCTCCTTGACCTTGTTCCATACTTGGTCCAAGGTGTGGAGGGTGGTGTCCCCTCTGGGCCGGAGCTTTGGCCATGCGCCCATAAATGTCCACATTATGCCTCCGGGAGCGGAGATCCTGCATAATTTCTTCCTCCTATTTTCCTCACTAGGATTTGACTGCCACTGTGATAGTAGGGATATAGGCCTCCGGGAGCGGAGATCCTGCATAATTTCTTCCTCCCCCCATAGCTCCAGGAGGGACAGGATCTCCATCCCCGATCAAGAAAGGTGCCCGGTGTTTAGTGCCTCTTGGTGGGTCCTCTGAGCCCTGGTGCTGCTCCCTGTGTGGTCCAGGGCGGTTTCGGGGGGCTTGTGGCTGTGCCATGGCTCAGCAGGCCTGTAGCAGTCAGAGTCATGTGGTCAAGGTCCTGCTGCAAGGCTGGCTTCCTGTCACAGGGCTAGTCCAGGGTGTCTGCAGCTTTAAGAGCTGGCAGGAGACAGGAACTATAAAGCTGTGATTAGTGTGCACAGAATGTCCACCAGGGCACCTATGCTTGTTCCTGGAGGCCTCCCCTTTCGAGAAAGCTCCCTCTTCTACGTCCACGCATGCCTTTTTCCGAGAGAGCTCTTTCAGAAAAGGAGTTCTTCCTCATAGAATGAGGTTTACCAATGCCGAAAGAACCCCTGCATTCTTTCAATTTTCTTTTGAAAGAACGTGATTGCAGTATGGACGTAAGTGACATTTTTTCAGAAAACCAGCTGTTTTTCCAAAAAAATCCTGCAGTCTAGACCCACCCATGGACTAGCTACAGTAAAATAGCTTATTCCACTGTATCCATGCCAGTAAATTCAGTGAACACACAGCTTTCTAGCCAAGTGAGACAGCTTGGTAGAGTGCACTGCCAATAGCCTGGGGATACATGACTCGGCTATCAGTCCAGCACCTTGCACCAGCACAAAATTTACTTACTCTAAAAAGAAAAAAAGTTTGTCACCTTCTATACTTGCCTAAAGCATTGTCACTGACTAGGCAAGTGTCTGCAGTGAAAGACAGTATGGAAATGTTAAGACTATTCAGTGACCCAAGACCTCATATTTGCTATGGAAGAAGTTTACTAGGTTAAAATTTGCTCCTGATCTGAAGTAGCACAGCTTAATCATCACTTCTCAGTATTTTGATTGATGAAACAGATTCCAAATCTTTGAAAAGAATATTTATCTTAAAACACAGCTCCTTAAATATGCTTTAAAAGCTCATTTTTTTATCTTGTGCACTAAAATATATTATTCACAAGAATTTGTAGAAGTCTGGCCTATTTCCTTCAGAAATCATCGGGGTGCAATAAACGGAAACCATACACAGTATGTCATTGTGATTCTAATTCCATTAACAACTTTATTTCAACAGAATTTCTGACCCTCCATATATGTAGTGTTTTTAGATTCTGGGTTTTTTCTCCCTTGCATTATTATTATTAAATATGTGCTCTTATAACAGTTCAGAATTATAGCACTCCAAGGAGAAACTCTTCAGTGGAAGGAGTTGCAATCAGCAACATTCCAGAAAAAGGGGAGAAGGCAGGAATATTTTTAATAGCTTTTTCATATTGGTTCTTGCTATATCTTCAGAACAAACATATATGGAAATTTAATCAAGACATTTTCAGACTTCCTGCTTCCTTTGCAACATTCTCTCCTTTTTAGGCCTGTGAACTGGAGAATACATTTAGCTCCCTGTTCATTTTCCACCTTGGATCACATAATCCAAAGGGCATTTGAAGGAAAACTATGCCAGTTTAGCTCAGCCTAGCAGTACAAAATAGTATGGAGTAAGCTGCTCAGTGAATAAACTGTGACACGTATTGTAACACTTTTCGTTATAGCTAGCATTTCTGAGTTTAGTGCTAGAGGCACCAACTGAAGGGCAACTGTGCCATCTTGATAAAAAGTAATGTTATTTCTGACACTACCATGAAAGACCAGTACCAATGGAAATCTGTGTCTACAATTAAAAGTTGCAGTATTTGTCAACATCTTTCCCCTCTACCTATCTTAGTGTCTGGCTACCTATCCTAGGCCCACATTAAACTAAAGCTAGAATCGTTCTATTTCCAGACAGGACCAACCATGTTCCCCTCTGTGGTATTGTATATGTAACCCGCCTTTTTCTTCCCTGGTTACTTGGGCGCAAGACACACTCACGTGTGCCTGGGCGCCTGACGTTTTAACATAAAAGAAAACCCTGAATACCCCAGTGGTGATGTTGTTTAGTTAGGTATTCCCTATCCATCCTCTTGCTGCAGTCCCTTGCTCCTAAAGAATATACAGTGGTGGTGCCTCCACCTGGCTGGCCTTGTACACACTTATGATGTGCCTTGGGAGCCTCCAGGAAATAAAGTTATTCCAATAATAACCTGGAACTAACTCCAAGACAACAATTATAAATAAGATATATCTAATTGATT